ATGCAAAAATCACAAGCATTCCTATATACCAATAACAGAGAGCCAAATCATGAGTGAACTCCTATTCACAATTGCTTCAAAGAGAATAAAATACCTAGGAATCCAACTTACAAGGGATGCGAAGGACCTCTTCAAGGAGAACGACATACCACTGCTCAACGAAATAAAAGAAGACACAAACAAATGGGAGGCTGAGATTTTCATACATGCTAGGCAGGGGGTGCTGTGTGACCAGGCCTCAGCAAAAGCCCTAGACACTGAGTCCCTCGTGGGCTTCCCCAGTGGACAGTGTTTCACACATTGTTGCACTGCATCGTGGAGGAGTTGAGCTGAGCGTCCTGTGTGTATCCCCTGGGAGAGGGCTTCGGCAACTTGTGCCTGCCCCCTTTGTCGATTGCTTTGTCTCTTTTGCTGTAATAAATCACAAACACAAGTGTGCTGTGCCCATGCTAAGTTCTGTGAGTTCTAGCGAATCTCTGAACTTGAGGATCTCGGGGGCCCGGGTCACAGCACTTCCAGCCTGCTTCATGGGCACTGTCATCACATGTGTAGTCCACTTCCTTTACGTTGATCTTCATGTTTGTTTCACTCCACCTTCCATGTCACATGTTTTCCTTCACTGTCTGTTAATCCCCTGGCCCATTGCTCAGGGCTGAGAGAGCACAGACCTAAAAGGTGAGCTTTGGGTACACGGTGGGCTTCTCAGCTTTGAGCTTCACCATCGGGTGATCTGAGTGGGGCGTTGGTGGGAACCCCTGGGTCAGTATCTACAGGGCTTTCCTAGTTCCCTGCCTGGGGGGTCAAGGTCTAGCCTGCTGCGTTCTGAATGCCCACAGACAGAAAGGAGCTGGGAATTTGCACTAAGCAGTGAACATTTCATCACCTAATCTCCCTGTTTGGGAATGGCTCAGATGCCCTCAACTATCCCCTATTCCAGAGACCCTCTGTTATTTTATTATTTTAAAACAATTTTTTCTGCAGTAAAATTGATGTTTATGTTTTGGTGTACAGGTCTATAAATTTAAAATTATGTATAGATCAGGCCAGGTGTGGTGACTCACACCTGTAATCCCAGCATTTTGGGAGGCTGAGGCGGGTGGATCATTTCAGGTCAGGAGTTTGAGACCAGCCTGGCCAACATGACGGAAACCACGTCTCTACTAAAAATACAAAAATTAGCTGGGCGTGGTGGCGTGTGCCTGTGATCCCAGCTCCTCAGGAGGCTGAAGCAGGAGAATTGCTTGAGCCTGGGAGGCAGAGGTTGCAGTGAGCCAAGATCATGCCATTGCACTCCAGCCTGAGCGATGAGAGAGAAACTCTGTCTCAGAAAAATAAAAATAAAATCATGTATAGATCAATATTATCACCACCACAGTTAGGATACAGTTCTGTCACCCCAGATCCCTCCTTTGTACTCGCCCTTCATAATCACTTTTGCTCCATACGCATAGCCTCTGACAGCCACTGATGTGTTCTTTATGACTATAGTTTTAACTCTGGAAGAACATCATATAAATGAGGCTGTGTGTTTTGCAGCATCATGCAGCTGTAACCTTTGATTCAGCAGGTAACAATGTGCATGGCCTCTCCACTCACGGTAATGCCTTTCAGATTTAGCCAAGTGGTTGCATCTATCGGTAGGTCTTTCCTTTTCATTGCTGAGTAGTATTCCATCACAAGGGTGTACCACAGTTTGTGCACCCATCAAAGGACATTTAAGTTGCTTCTAGTTTTTGGTAATAGAGCTGCTTAAAAACAGTATACACATGTTTTTATAGGAACATAAGTTTTCAGTTATTTAGGGTAAATGCCAACAAATGAAATTGCTCAGCTATATGTTAAGTATATGCCTGACTATAAAAAACTGCCCACCATTTTCCAGTGTGGCTAGATCACTCCGCATTCTCACCAGCAGTGAACAAGGGTTCTAGTTGCTCCCTACCCTCTCCAGAATGTGGTATTGTCAGTATTTTAATTTTAGCCATTCTAAGAAGTTTGTATTGTTATCACATCATGGTTTTAATTTGTAGTTCCCTGATGGATAATGATGTTGAGCATCTTTTGATGTGTTTATTTGCCATTTTACATCCCATTTGGTGAAATTTCTGCTCGAGTTTTTGCTCATTTTTCAATTGGGTTGTTTACTGTCTTACTGCTGAGTTTTGGGAGTTTTAAAAAATATATATTCTAGGCTGGGCGCGGTGGCTCACGCCTCTAATCCCAGCACTTTGGGAGGCTGAGGCAGGCGGATCTCTTGAGGTCAGGAGTTCAAGACCAGCCTGGCCAACATGGTGAAACCCCATCTCTACTAAAAACACAAAAATTAGCCAGGCATGGTGGCACACGCCTGTAATCCCAGCTACTCAGGAGGCTGAGGCAGGAGAATTGCTTGAACCAGGGAGGTGGGGTTGCAGTGAGCTGAGATTGAGCCACTGCACTCTAGCCTAGGCAATGGAGCGATATCCTGTCTCAGGTAAAAAAAAAAAAAAAAAGAAAATTCCAGGATGGGCACAGTGGCTCACACCTGTTATCCTAGCAATTTGGGAGGCTGAGGCAAGATGATCACTTGAGCTCAGGAGTTCAAGACCAGCCTGGGCAACATGGTAAAACCCTGTCTCTACAAAAAAAAAAAAAAAAAGTGGGGCATAGTAGCACACACTTGGAGTCCCAGCTACTAGGGAGGCTGAGGTGGGAGGATCAGCTTAGCCCAGGGAGGTTGGGGCTGCAGTGAGCCATGACTGTACCACCTCACTCCAGCCAGGGCAACAGAGTGAGACCCTGTCTCACCAAAAACATATATATAGAGATAATAAATATGTGTTTACACACACATTCTGGATTTAAGTCCTTTGTTGGATATATTATTTGCTAATATTTTCTCCCAGTCTATAGTTTGTCTTTTCGTTCTCTTTTATTTTTAACCCAATCTGTGACAAGCACATCTTTTCATTCTCTTTACAGTGTCTTTTGCAGAGCAAAATTTTTAATTTTGATGAAGTCCAAATTATACATTTTTCTTCATGTATGCATGTGTTTCTGTGTCACATCTAAGAACTCTTTTTCTAACCCCTGGTCACAAGGATTTTTTTTCCATTTTCTTCTCAATGCTTTAATAGTTTTATAGTTTACATTTATATAGCTTTGATCAAGTTTTTCTTTTTTGAGACAGAGTCTCATTTGTTGCCCAGGCTGGTGTTCAGTGGTGCAGTTGTAGCTCGTTGATGCCTCAAACCTCCTGGCCTCAAGCAGTCCTGCGGCAGCCTCCCAAAGTGCTGGGATTACAGGTGTGAGCCCCCAGCTTTTGATCAATTTTGAACGAATTTTTGTATATGGTGTGAGGTTTACATTGAAGTTCTCTTTCTTTTGCACTTTTGATAAACATAGATTAGCCATACTTGTGTGGATCTGTTTCTGGATTCTCTTTTCTGATCCATGGGTCTGTGTCCGTCCTTTCAGCAACACGACACTGTCGTGCTTATAGTAGCTTTGTAGTAAGTCATAAAAATGGGTGAAGTGGTTCCTCCAACTTTAGTTTTCTTTTTCAACATTGTTTTAGCTCTTCCAGTTTCTTGGCTCCTCTATACAAATTTTAGAATCAGTGAATCAATATCTACAAAAAGTTGTGCTGGGATTTTGATTGGAATTGCATTACATTTGTAAATCTACAAAAGTTGTGCTGGGATTTTGATTGGAATTGCATTACATTTGTAAATCAGTTTGAGGAGAGTTAACATCTTTGCTATGTTGTCTTCCAATCTATGTATATAGTATATCTCTCCATTTACTTACATATTTTTTTTATCAGTGTTTTGAAGTTTTCAGGACCCCCTATTTACATTTTGCCTGGAGAGCAAACTAATAGACTTCTGCCAAGCCACTGCGGGGACACCTAGGGATCTGATTGCTTCTTAAGGAACTTGCACCGAGTCCTCTCTGCTCCAGCCTTCCTTTTTACTGCCAGCTCCAGAGATACTAGGTTTGCCATTCCCAAGTCTTTTGAGGGTTTTACAGAGAAAATCTGGTTGGTTCTCAGCTTCTCCATTGTGTGGTTGGTATTTGGCTTTCTCAACTGTACCAAGCCTGTTACAAGTAAATAGGAATACAGTAGGTTTCACCTTGATTATATTCTTTCTTTACTTAAACTTCTCAAATATCCTTACTTTATATCTCTGATCATTCTAATATCTTATGCCTTGGTGCATCTGATTTCACTAGTAGTGCTTCTGTCTTTAGGTGTTTTGTGATTTTTACCATGATCTCATGTTCAGTGGAACTTTCTTGATGGGAATTCTTTGAGGCCTAGGTTGAAAGTGAGTATCTCCAGAGGTATTGTGTCTCTGCCCACTGCTCTGGGAGCACTGCCAATCCGGGATTATTTTAGAATAAATTCTCAGCTTCAGTGTAAAATAGTGCCTTTAGATTACGAATTCAGACCACAAGGCTTAATTTGTGATAATAAAATCTCAGCACCAAGGTCAAACTATGCAAATGTCCCTGCTGCCTACCTCATCATAGCTTGGCTCATCCTTTCCATCCAGTTCTCCATGCTCTCTGAGGCTCTCTCCTGCCCAGAGTGTCCGTTTTCAGCTTGGCACCTGTGACTCTGCTAAAGGGGTCTGTGTCGACCCCCAGATGTATGTTTGGAAAACAGAAATTTCCTTTCTAAAAATCACTTCTCTGTAACTTTTCTGTGCCCAGCCTTAGGATAGGAACTAGAAGTACAGGTGTGAAAAAGGACACATGGCCTATCTTCATGGCACTCACATTTTGGGAGGAAAATAATTAACGAATGCTTTTTGAGTCCTTGTTTCATGCCAGTCGCCATCCCGGTGCATTCACATGCATGATGTCTGCAGTCCTAGTAATGACCTTGCACAGTAGGGTCTCTCGTGGATATTTTGTGGATTAGGAAACTTGGGCTACAGGGACAGGCAATGAGCTTGGCACTGGGGTTTGAGCTCCTCATGCTGGGGCTGAGTGACTGTCCTGCTCTCTCGTAGAGGCTGTGCATGCCCGTGTACTGCAAGTACCAGTTCCATAAGACTCCAGTTCACAAGACCAAGGGGGAGCCCCATGGAACCCACGTTTATTTCCAGGACATCAACGTCATCTTCCTTGGGGCGCTGCATCCCAGTGACCTAAGGGAATACCTGGAGGGTCCCCCCATGGTGGTGGAAGTTCACGACCGGGACCGCAAGTCAGAGGAGTTTTCTCAGAAGCCCGTGCTGTTTGGGGAGGACCCCCTGGATTCATACCTCAACTTCCGGGCCCTCATCTCTCCCAGAGAGACAGAGAACAACCCCTTTGAGTCCCAGAACAAGATGTGGTACCCTTATGGGATCGCCCAGGTCAGTTTTGCTGACCTCCTCCTTGGCCACAAGTATTTGAACCTGGCCGTCCCCATCCACAGCTGTGAGGTTCAGCCCACACACTGCAGCCAGGACAGCAGGAGAAGGAAGGTTGTGGGGCTTGGGGTCCCCAGAGATGGCCACCAGCATGGCCCAATGCCCATGGGCAACTACCTAGAGGCTGACTCCCAGCTCAAGTTGCGAGTGGACATCGCGGTGCCACTGAGGGCCGGGGCCAGAGCTGCCGATCCCGACCTCGGGGGCTCCCAGTTTGGCCGCATCATCTTCGTCTTTGACTTTAAGAAGGTCTCCCTGCTCCACAGCCTGCTGCAGGACATCACTATGATCAACGCTAAGGCCCTCGGCCTGGACTCCTACCCCGTCAGGACCCTGCAGCAGATCCTGTCGGCCTTCAAGATGCGTGTGCGGGTCCAGGAGCAGCAGTACCTGGATGTACTCACCGGCTTCCACCTGCTGGACGGGAAGACCCACCTTTTCATCCTGGAAGGCCTGGCCAACCAAGGCTTGAGGCAGCTGTGGGAGAACCACCAAAGCTGGTAGGTGGTTTGTTTTACATTTTACATAAAAATGATGGCATCTGGATGCCGAGGGAGTGGAGAGGTCTTTCAGAGTCAAGCCTAGGTTCAGTGTCCTTGTCTGTGAGTCTCCTTTCGGGGATCATTGTGAGGTACTTACCAGGGTTTAGTCATTGGACTTGAAGACTCGATTGCATTTGCTTGCAGGGAGGAATTCAGGCATATCTAAGATGACTGAGGGGTCCAGGAGAGTGGCGCCTGTCTTCAGGGTTCTGAGCCAAGGGCTACTGTGGCTAACCAGGAGCAGAATATTCTGTATTAGATTTCAGCTTGCCCCAGGGAAGATCATTTTGAAGATGGAGGGGCTGCTTAGGTTGCAGGAAGTTACCCTTCTCTGAAAGCCTTCAGGGGACCTGGGGGCCACTCAGTGGGGACACTAGAGGTGAATAATTAAAGTGTCCAATTCTGGGCTGCAGCAGGTAGCCCTTTGCAGTTCCTCCATTCTTTAGTTTTGATGACATGACACCTCTCCCTTCCTTTCACAATTTGCAGGTATACTAGTTTGGGTAGATAGGATCTCCCTCCTTTAGTCTGGAAGGCCCCCATCTGTCTTCAGAATTCAGATGCCCCAGGACCCACTTGTCTGCAGTAGGGAGTCCAGGAGTTGAGGCTGTCTGCCCAGAAGGGGATTGCACTTCTCCGGACCTGCCTTCCTGTGCTGATGGGCCCAGAGGCACCGGGAGAAGCTGGCCTTGTATCTATTATAAGCCCAGGAGAACTGAAAACATATTTCCACACAAGAGCTTTTACACACATGTTCATATCAGTGTTATGTATAATAGTCAAAAAGTGAAAACAGGCCAGGTGCAGTGGCTCACGCCTGTAATCCCAGCACTTTGGGAGGCTAAGGCAATCCTGGAATCACTTGAGCCCAGGAGTTCAAGACCAGCCTGGTCAACATAGTGAGACCTTGTTACTACAAAAAATACAAAAATTAGCCAAGCATGGTAGCTCCTGCCTGTAATCCCAGCTACTTGGGTGGCCAAGGTGGGAGAACCCAGGAGGCAGAGGTTGCAGTGAGCCAAGATCATGCCACTGAATTCCAGCCTGGGTGACAGAGCCAGACCCTGTCTCAAAAAAAAAAAAAAGTGGAAATAACCCAGATGTTTATCAACTGATAAACAAAAGATAATAAGTCCATAGAATAATTGAGCCATAAAAGAAAATGAAAGCCAGGCATGGTGGCTCACACCTGTTATCCCAGCACTTTGGGAGGCTGAGGTGGGGGGATTGTCTGAGGTCAGGAGTTCAAGACCAGCCTGGCCAACATGGTGAAACCCCGTCTCTACTGAAAATAGAAAAACTTAGCCGAGCATGATGGCACGTACCTGTAATCCCAGGTACTCGGGAGACTGAGGCAGGAGAATTGCTTGAACCCTGGAGGCAGATGTTGCAGTGAGCCAAGATCACGCCACTGTACTCCAGCTTGGGCAAGAAGAGCGAAACTCCATCTCAAGAAAAAAAAAAGAAAGAAAGAAATGAAATACTGATACACATATCTCAACCTTGAAACATTCTGCTAAGTCAAAGAAGCCAGACACAAAAAGGCACATATTGTATGACTCTGTGTTTGTGAAATGTCCTGAACCGGCAAATCCATAGAGATAGGTAGGCTGGTGGTTGCCAGGGATAACCACTCAGGGGAGGGCAAGAGAGAAGCGGGGAGCCACTGCCAGTGGGCACAGGGTTGCCATTAGGGGTGTGGAGGATGTTCTAGAACTAGATAGTGTTTATGGCTGCACAACATTGTGAATGTAGTCAAAATCACTCATTCATGCGCTTTAAAAGGTTGAGTTTTGTTCAATACCAGCTTTGCCAACATGGTGAAACCCCATTTGTACTAAATATACAAAAATCAGCCAAGCGTGGTGGCAGGTGCCTGTAATCCCAGCTACTTGGGAGGCTGAGGCAGGAGAATCGCTTGAACCTGGGAGGTGGAGGTTGCAGTGAGCCAAGATCACGCCACTGCACTCCAGCCTGGGCAGCACAGCAAGATTCCGTCTCAAAAACAAAACAAAAAAAAAAATGAGTTTTGTCGTGTGTAGCAGAGAATGTGGCCTGGCCCAGGAACAGTCTGGGTTCTGCCCTTGGCTCCTGGGAGGCAATCTGAGTCACACCTAATAGGAGTGTCTTTGTTCAGGGAGGGGACTGGCCACACCTGACAGTCACAGGATGGAGGCTGACCTTCCAGAAAGACCAACCGGGTTCTTCGGGATGGGGGCTTTGGGTCATGCAGAATCAGGAGACTGAGTTTAGCCATGTAGGCGGTCAGCCCGCCTGCCATACCTGTGCAGTGGAGCCCCCTGGAAACTCTGGCCACCGGGGCTGGGGCGAGCTGCCTGGCTGCAGTGTGCTTGCACGCCGCCACTCACCAGTGCTAGGAGGGTAGCACATCCGGCCCCACAAGGAGAGGACAGTGGAAGCTTTGTGTCTGGAGCCGTTGTGGACTCTGCTCCATGTGTTTGTTCCCCTGGCAGATTTTAATCTGTATTCTTTCCCTGTAATCCAACTAACTGTGAGTGTAGAACTCACTTTCAGTAAGTTCTGTGAGCCCTTCTAGCGTGTTATCAAACCAGAGAGCAGTCTCAGAAACCTCCTGAACTTGCAGTCGGCGTCAGAAGTAAGGGTGGTCTTGGGGACTGTGCCCTCAAACTTTGTGGTTTGGCTAATGCTGGGCAGATAGTATATGAATTACATCTCGAAAGCATTTTCCAGTGGCAGAAATAACATGAAGCATGCTCATTGAACCCCGTTGAATAAGGCTAGAAATAAAACATAGATCATTAACCAGAAAAAAGTTCATATGGAAGGAAATTAATAACCATACTTCCAAATAACTTGTGGGTCAAAAAGAAATCCTAATGGAAATTAGACATTTTTGAACTGAACAATAATGAAAATAATATATTAACTAAATTTGCAGGGTGGGCCAGGTGCAGTGGTTCACTAGATAGTGTTTATGGCTGCACAACATTGTGAATGTAGTCAAAATCACTCACAGTCCCAGCACTTTGGGAGGCCAAGGTGGGCGGATCGCCTGAGGTTGGGAGTTTGAGACCAGCCTGGTCAACATGGTGAAACCCCATCTCTACTAAAAATACAAAAATTAGCTGGGCGTGGTAGCACACACATGTAATCCCAGCTACTGGGGAGGCTGAGGCAGGAGAATCTCCTGAACCCAGGAGGCAGAGATTGCAGTGAGCCAAGGTCATGCCACTGCACTCCAATCTGGACAACAGAGTGAGACTCTGTCTCAAAATAAATAAATAAATAAATAAAAATTTGCAGAGTGATATTGAAGCATTAGTCAGAAGAAAATGTATAGCCTTAAAATGCTTATTTGGAAATGAAAAATGTCTGAAAATTATTGAGACATAATTATAGTTGTTGCAGACATTGATATGTGTTTCAAATTATGCCAATATATTAAAAAATTTATAAGAAATTTAAAAAATAATACCAAAAATATGTTCAGATAAGATTATTTAATGTGGTATTGAATATAAAAATTAGTATAAAAATATCAAATTTTGAATACCATCGACATACGAAAACTAATTTTTAAAAATTGGAACACATTTAAAGTAAAATGTATGAAATTCATGGGACTAAATTTGACAAAAAGATGTGAAAGACGTCCATCATGAATATTATAGAACTTCAGGAAAAATTAAGGAAGACATAAATAAGTGGAGAGAGATACCATGTTCATGAATTTGAAGACTCAATATTCTAAAGGCTCAGTTATCTTCAGATTTGAACTGTAGATTCAGTGCACTTCCAGTTTTAAAAATCCCAACAGTTTTTAAAGTATGGACATTGATTTTAAAATTTTAAAGTTTTGGCTGGGCACGGTGGCTCAAGCCTGTAATCCCAGCACTTTGGGAGGCCGAGACGGGCGGATCACGAGGTCAGCAGATGGAGACCATCCTGGCTAACCCGGTGAAACCCCGTCTCTACTAAAAAATACAAAAAACTAGCCGGGCGAGGTGGCGGGCGCCTGTAGTCCCAGCTACTCGGGAGGCTGAGGCAGGAGAATGGCGTAAACCCGGGAGGCGGAGCTTGCAGTGAACTGAGATCCGGCCACTGCACTCCAGCCTGGGCGACATAGCGAGACTCCGTCTCAAAAAATAAAAAAATAAAAATAAATAAATAAATAAAATAAAATAAAACTTTAAACTTTTGCATGTTAAGTTTCATACTTTTTTTTTAATCAAAGTCCATACTTTAAAAGCTGTTGGAATTTTAAACCCTTTACAGCAACATGCAAAGGTCTTTTTTTAAAAAAAGATACCCTTGAATAAGAACAAGATAGAAGAACTTGCTGTACTAGATATCAAGACTCATGATAAAACTATAGTCATTAAGATAGTATGGTGTTGGTTCAGAGATAGACAAGCAGACCTATGGAATATAATAGAGAATCCAGAAACAGACCTACACATAAGTGTTCATTTGCCGTATGACATATGTGATATTGCAAAATTGGTAGGGAATAAATATACTAAAAAACACTGAATGTTCTACTTCAAAAAGATGAATCTTACACAATGGGATGCTATTTCATACTCATTAGGATGGATAGAATCCAAAAGTCCAGTAATGACAAGCATTGGTGAGGATGTGGAGGAATCAGAAGTGTCCTTCTCTGCTGGGAGGAATGTAAGTGCAGCCACTTTGGAAAACACTCTGGCAGTTCCTCAAGTGATTAAACACAGAGTTTCCATATGACCCAGGAATATCACTTCTAGATCTGTGCCCAAGAAAATGAAAACATGTATATCCACACTAATGTGTGGATTATTGCTAATTAGTGTACTAAACTTGTACACTCATGTTTATAACAGCATTATTCATAATAGCCAAAAGGTGGAAACAGCCCAAATGTCCATGAAGTGGTAAAAGGGTAAACAAAAGATGGGATATGCATACACTGGAATTCTATTTGGACATAAAAAGGA